GGAGGGAGGGAGGGGGAGAGAGAGAGAGAGAGAGATATTCACGTGTAAGAGGGACCCATTGATTAGTTGCCTCCCATATGGGATCGAACCTGCAACCCAGGTACATGCCCTTGATGGGGAATTGAATCCGTGGCCTCCAGTGCTCAGGCCAGTGCTCTAACCACTGTGCAACACCGGCTAGGGCTGATTGTTGTTTTTAAAACACAGTTTCCAGTAACCAGTCCAGAGGCATGAAAAGCCATCCTGAGACACTGCTGATGAGACAGCAAGGGACCCCAAGAGATGTACTGGTGTCTTCTCTTTCCCTCAATATTACATAAGTCAGTATCGAATTCACAGGCTGGCATGCTTCCAGGTTGGAGGGAGATGGCTCTTGAAAGACTCCTCTATAAAAATAAAAAGGCAGTTCTCTTTCAAATTAGAAAATGATTTATAACACGCTGAAAAGAGTTGCTTTATCCTCTAAAAAGGATAGAGACAGCTCTTAGAATAGTGACTAGGAATATTCTACAAGGCCCTCCCGATCCTCCAGCCATGGAAGAAAGGAGACGTAAGATGCGCTCAGGTGTGGAGAGAGTTAGTACACCCCACACGAATAGGTTTCGGGTGAACAGAGTTCTGTTTCCAGTACACAACAAGGAAGGTGCATTTACTTTGGAAAATGTTATGTTAAAAGCTACAAACATAAATTCCCTCATATTCATTTGAAAATAGATCTCTTTTGTATTTGTTTTCACATTGTTATATATAACTGTGGCTGGTATTTCATTGAAATTATTTGCAATCTCAAGGTGTTATAGCATCTCAGTTTGCTACAACTTAGAATGTAAATAGTTGTGCTAATCCAAACATTAAGTTATCTTTAAGTATTTCGTGCTTTTGCTGTGGTGAATTTTTCTATAGTACCCACATGGGACTTAAATTACAAGAAGGGGGAGAGAGATTAAGCTGGGAACTTAGATGCATATATGCATAACCATGGACACAGACAATAGTGCAGTGAAGGTCTGGAGTGGGGCCGGGAATGGGGAGGAGAGGGTCAATGGGGGGAAAAGGGGAACATCTGTAATACTTTCAACAATAAAGATAAATTTTAAAAATAATAAATTACATATAATGTATAATAAAAGATATAACTGGACCAAAACCTAAGAAGTTACCTCTTCCACCTATGAAAAAAAAACCTGTGGCAACAGTCTTATACTGTCCATTTTATGGTAGTGGGTTGGATACTGATGCAGAGGGAACGCCACTGAATCAGTGATTTTCCAAATGCTCCATTTTATTCTAAGGGCGGTAGGAAGATTGTCTTTACTTGTAAGGGAAACTATAGAATAGTTATTTTAAGGAAAATGTATTGGATTTAAACAGTTAAAAAGAGACTAAAATGAGGGAAATCTAAGAAATGGGAATGGAAAAAAGATACAGGAACATTGCCTTTATTAAGTTGGAGAAAACCGAGCACATCAACACCCTCTAACCCATCAAGTTCAGATGTGTCCACCATACCCTGCTCTCCCACTCTTCCCCACCCCACGCACACCACACTCAGAGAGTACCCTAGAAGTTTCAGTGTGTTGACAGTTCTTAATTTTTGAAATAACATGCTTAATATTAAAACTATTTTTTAATAGTTAGACCCATTTAATTCTTAATACGAACTCTTATAATAGGTGCAGCTACCAGTTTTTTTGTAAAGCTGTTCTCGAGCTAGTTTTTTGTACAAAAGAGCACGAGCATGTTTCTAGTGAGTTTTTAAGCTATTGTTATCTGAGATGACCCGGTGTGGCGATAGAGAGGCCTGCTGTGACAGTGCATTGTGTGCAGACATTCATGCAGACTCCACCACCTGGTGCAACAGCTCGCACCTTATAATACAGAAGCCTGGATAATTAGATCAAGTCAGACCCCCAAATTTAAGTTGTGAGAATTATTGGGTACATTTTCCTTAGGCACAGTCTCATAATTGCACAGGCTTCAAAGTCCCATCAAGATACCTTTTTTTTCTCTCTTTATAATTTTGGTGTTGTTTGGAGTATGTCATTCTTTTCTTTCATGCTTAGGAGAGCTTCCAGTGGTGAATTCTTCAGTTGGATCAAACTGCTGTACTTGTAACTGCCAGTCAACATTGCAGGCCATTCTCCAAGAGCTCAAGACCATGCGGAAATTAATGCAAATTCAAGCAGGTACAATGCTTACACATCAGATCGAGCCCCCTGATTCTTCATGCATATCTGACATCTTCAGTTGGGATGTTTATTATGCTTCTATTGTTGAGTCCTTCCCTCTGTGTTGTCTTTATATGATTTTTCAAGTGTCCATTTTCTCAGCTTTTTCTCCAACCTATTTCCCTTTAGAAAATAACAAAATTTTTATTTTTAATAATACTACTATACTTGCGTACATGTGCTCTGTATACCTCACCCCCGGATCTCCCAGCACCTCACAAATGTGAGCTCATTATATTTTGACAGTTATACATGAAGGTGGGCAAAGTTCTTCAGCTAATCCAGATGTGAATCGACAAAGAGGTTCTGATCAGGAAAGAAAATGAGGCTGCCTATCTGGTCCCTTAGGTGCTCAGTTTGGGGGCTGCCTGCATCTTGACGACCTCCACTCCTGTACGAGTCCCTTTGGGGCTTGGCTTGACAGTGGGGAAGTCACGCATTTGTGTAGATGTGGAGGAGCCCTTTAGGAAGCATAGGTGCTGCTGGTGGCTTTTCTTCCTAACATTCAGGACATAGAAGCTCAAAGACACGTTTTGTCGTCTTAATTTACATGATGCCTTTTTTGTCCTGTTAGGTCGTAGGAGAGTGGAGCACTGCATTTGCAGTTTGGAGTCAGAGTTCAGTTTCTCCTCTTACACCTGTGCAACTTCTCTGAGCCTCAGATTTCTCCTCTGTCTCTGGAGTACTGACATCTCACTCTCAGGGTTGTTTTCAAAGGAGAATGAGATGGTAAATGAACCCTGTAAGGCATGGCATGAGCGTGAGCTATTTCATTAGTGTTGTTATAAAGACCACAGAGCCCTTCATAGAAGTCTGGAAGTCTAAATATTGTTGATGGCAGTTGTTTTCTAATCTTCACAATTGGAGGGGGAAGAGAACTTTTTTGTTACAGGTACCAAAAATAATTGATCATTTGATTAAGCTTTTCCTCTTGTCAGGGAAAACTGCTCCTTGACCTTGGCCTAACACAGGAAACAGCACAATCATGTGTGAATAGCATTCCCCTCCTTTCATTCTAAAGGTATTCACAAAGGCCATTGTTCAGAAGTTGTACGTGGTGTCTTTTAGTGAATTCTAGTAAAATTTTTGTATTTAATGACGTGGTTTTGATATTAAAAAGCTCAATACTTAAGACATCTCAGTTACCCAAGATCACATGAAAGTAAGATGAGTGCCCTGCCTGGTGTGATTCAGTGGTTAGAGCATCAGCCCACACACTGAGGGTCTGAGGTCCAATTCCTGCTCAAGGGCACGTACCTGGGTTGCAGGTTCGATCCCCGGCCCCCGTCAGAGCACGTGTGGGAGGCAACCAATCCATGTCTCTCTCTCAAATGGATGTTTCTCTCTCTCCCCCTCCCTCCCTGCCTTCCACTCTCTCTAAAATTTAATAGAAAAAATATCTTCAGGTGAGGATTAACAAACAAACAAAAAGAATTTGTGTTGTGTGGGTAGGGTTTATTGCCTGTAAGACTCAGATTTAAATTATATATATTTAGAAAGTTTTACCTTTACTTTAAGGTAGTAGGATCAAGCGATAAGATCTGGATGCAAGAAACTTCAGCTATGTCTAGACTTGCAAAAGGAGAAGAAAACTCAGATAGTCCCTATGTTCTTGAAACCAAAAACATTTTCACTTGTAATTTAGAATAATGAGGCTTAGAGAGGCGTGTGTTCTAGACTATCTTGATAATTGCTTCAGTCGTCCACTTGACTTTGGGAACAATTTGGAGAGAACAGAAAAAAGTCCTCCTCTCCAGCCTCTACACTGGAATTACTTGAGGACCTTTAGAAAAATCTCAGTGCCTGGGCACCACCCCTGGAAATTCCGATTCAATTAGTCTGGGGTGAGGCTGAGGCACTGACATTTTTTCAAGCTCCAGGGTGATTGTAATGTACAGCCAGGGTCGAGGAACCAGTGAGCTCGATGAATTACTGCATGGGTGATTAAAAACCTTTCAGTTTATGTGCAGTGCAAGTAGTTTGTTTCTAACACTTAGTTATAAATTTCTTTCCAAGCTGGAGATGAAAATATCAAGTTTAAAGTATAAATATTCTTTATTTGTAAACTGATAGGAAATGATCCACATTTTCTGTATTTAAAGATCTTCAGTTTTCATTTGACATATTTATAGGTGTGTTTCTATAAAAAGGCAGGCATATCCTATGGTCACATTTAGTAAGCAGTATTAACACATGAGAATTTCATATTTTTCTATTAAACTTTCCATGACAGTATTTTTAAATGGTTAACAAACATTACTTCTCAAAGTGCACCTGTAAAAATTGTAATTCCCACCTTGTTTCTTTAAGTGTATTTTCAGTATTAGTACTTGTTTAGTGCTTTTTGTCTTTGGAACACAAACTGTTTCTGGATTTTACTCATTTACTTCACTTGTGTAGAACTCTATTATTTCTATTTTTCAGCCGCATAAAACGAGGTATGGAGAAGCAGCCAGGTCTGAGCCAGCAGCGTAGTGCTGCGGAGATCTTGATGTGTGGACAGTGTTGGTTTGTGAGGAAGGAGTTATGGGACCTGACCAGTGACTAGCAGGCTTTGCCCACGTCCCTCCTGGTACACACATACCGGTGTCATTACAGACAGATTCGTTTGCTCAGTCTTAGCCAAGTGACCGTCCTTGTCCAGTCTCTGTCCATTTCAGTACTAGCCGCTGATCAGTTTAACCCCAAATGACAATTGGAATATTCCTGAGACTGGCTCACCAGAAAGCGTGGACACCTACACCACAGTTTAAGTTCCGGAGTTCTCATTGATACAACATCACACGATTTGTAAAATCATGCTCAGATGTTTCCTCGAAGCTCAGCATCCTTTTCTTCCATTGAACCTGGCNTCATACGATTTGTAAAATCATGCTCAGATGTTTCCTCGAAGCTCAGCATCCTTTTCTTCCATTGAACCTGGCAGTAGCAGTACAATCCAGTTATTCACCAGCGCCTGCAGCAGGGTTCTCTCTTGGGTGTGTTTCTGCCTGTAGGACTTTAGAGTGCTCCAGAGCCTGCATGCGGTGAATTCAGGTCCCGCGCGCTCTGTTTTGTGGTGCTGCGCTTCGTCCCTGAGTGAGCCCCATCACAGCCTCAGCTAGTGGAGCACGCACATAGACAGGTGATACGTTTTCCTAAGTTGGACACAAGTGCCTGTATCATATTTTTGTTTATTGTTCACAGTTGGAACCCAAAACAGACAACAACCCCCAATTTCCCTTATATGCTCCCAGCGAACTGCTGTCTCACGCAAGAGAAATAAAAAGAAAAAAGTGCCCCCAAAGACTGTTGAACCTCTTACTGTGAAACAGAAGCCCAGTGTGTTAGAGACTGAGAAGAAGACGGCTGTGGCCTCAGAGCAGCCTGCCCTCCAGGCAGCTGAGCGCACCTCCGCTGGGGAGAACCGCGTCCTAGGATTTGGCATTGTTCTGGAATCACCTTCCTCAGATGTAAGTTCATGTTTTCTGGCTGCTGACACTAATGTGATACAACTGTCAGGAATTTTATCGTATTATTACACTTTCCCCTTAACTCTGGAAAAACTTGCAGAATACACGTTGGAAAGAGGAAAGGAAGACGATGAATAATTTCCTTCCCTAGAATTTTCTCTTCTGAAAATCTTATGCCTTATTTATTTAAACATGTTTCTATTCTGTATCTCTGAAAGAAGGGTGATGGAGTAAGTAATCTCTTTAACATTTTTAATTTTGAAGTAGTCATTTTCAATTTCCTCAGTGTAGAGAGCTAAAAGAACATAATTAAATCCTTTGTACATGGACATAAATGAACCAAACCTTAGAGAGAAGGTCACGCCTTTCTAGAAACACAAACTAATAATAAAAAAGGAGCAGTAATGCTAATTCTGTTTTATAGATGCAAGGTACACTGCTAATTAGGCTGCAGTGCCGTGTCATTTACTCTGTGTAATGATAGGTTAACGCTCTGCAAAGGTTTTTCTATTTTAATATTATAGCCAGAATGTTGTTGCAGATCCAGCTGTTGGATGATATCTAAGATATCCATCTGACTTGCCAGTTTATATTCAATAACTATAAACTAATTTTGTTAATAGTATGCTATATGTGCAATTGCATACTCTCTTTACAATATCTAAGTACACTGATGTTGTGAACCCCAACTTATTGGGAGAGTTCTTAAAATAAACAAGAATGAGGGATCTGTTATCAGATTGCATAGAATGAGAATCCTGCTGAGAACTCCCACAGGCCTATATGGCATTGGAGTTTAGCCCTGATTTTTAAATAAGAAATAAATTGTTGTTTTTAAAAGTGTTCCCTTTCACATTGCACAGGAAGACAGTTTGCTATCATGTATACACTTGAGGTCTTTAATAAAAGGAGGTAACAAAAGTAATTATTGTGTGACTTTTTTAGAGTAGAAAATCATTCAAACTTTTATTCAGTCCTCAGTGCCGAGGGCTTGTTTTAGTTTTTTATCTTTGAACACATGCTATAATTGTTAAGAAGTTCATTTAATTGTCCATTAAAACTTAATTTAAAAACATCGTTAATAATGATAACTTTCTACTCTGGACCAGTCAGCTCCTTCGATTAGATCATATTGTTATTGAAACTAAGGCTCTGGTTTCAAAATTCATGTAGATAACATATTTGGAAACAGAGGTACATATTCCATAACACAGAGTACATTCAATCATAAGCAGTTTTCTTAATACTTTTATATTTTTCTTAGTATCCTTTTCTGATAGGCATTGATGCATCAAGATCAATCACGTGAGTTGTATAAATCAGTGCTTGAATGGGTTGATCTAATTCTAATAACTGAAACTTCTCCTTTTAAATGTTTAAGCTCCAAATGTACTTCAGAGATAAATTGAGGACTAGCTGATAAAGGCCTTATGTACATTAGTGAAGTAGAATTTTTTCTCTTTATCAATATCAGTATTATAATTTTATTTATATACCAAATAAATATAATTTGATTTTTATTCATGATTATTTTTTGCTAACACAAGTGATTAAATTTAATAATGTGCATTCAGAATTGTCCATGAAACTCAGGTGCTTATTACCTTGATGGAAAAATAACATATTTTTAAAGAAAAGCAAAAACTATATATGGATATTCTCTTTACATTACCCAGCTGATAGCCATTTGATTCATCTGTTCAACAGAAACCCACTGCACCTAGAGAACTGTGCAATGAGTCCCATCAGTGGATAAAGAAATTCTGTCCACTGGCATTCATGAGGCTGGGCTGCGGAGTCCCTGGTGGAGGAGACTGACTTCCTTAGATGATGGGACCATCAGTGCTAAGGCATCCAAACTTAGGTGCCTTTTAGTCTTATTATTTCTTAGCCCTGAGCCCTTTAAAATTTGGTGGAAGTCTAGAGGAGAAAACAATTTATATAATAATCTTAAAGGAATCTTTCTATAAAACAGATTGGAGAAAATGTAATTGGAGATATATATACATATATATATATACACACATACATATACATACATACATACAGATGGGAACTGTGTATTTGAAGATGGACTCTGAGAAGTACCTGGCATTGGGAGGAGTAGGGCCAAAGGTGTAGGATTGGGCAAGTGGTGGCAGATGATGTAAAAGTCGGGTGGAGTCAGATAGTGAGCGCTATATAAAGGCTTGCCGATGCCCTTGGCCTTTATCTCACCGACACTAGGGAACCATTGCAAGTTTCCAGTAGAGGAATAATCACACCTGTGTTTTAGAATGGAAACTGGAACAGCGTTGTAGGTGACAGATGCAGAGAAGATACTAGATACAAAGAGACCAGAGGAAGGTAATTACAGTCAGCCAGGCAGGAGATTGGGAGGGTCTATACAGGAGCAGTGACCCTGGAGGGAGAACATGAGAGACATTTAGGAGGTACCCACACAGAAGACTTGGTAACTCAGTAGGAAGTAGCCCCCAATTTCTATCTTAGAAAAAACTAGGTTGGTTACTAGATGGTCCTGACTTCTTTAACTGAGAGGGAAAGAGAGCAGAAGTAGCCTTCAGCTCTGGATGGGACGTAAAAGTAAGCTTAGTATCTCAGAATGTTCAATAGATATTTGGAGCACAGGAGAAAGATTAGAGCTAGAAGCAATGAAAAATGACACATAAAACTTAAGCTTTATTGCTTTTTTAGGTAAAAAAAAAAACCTGTACATTTTTAAAAATTCACAATGTATTAAGTTATCTCTTTTATGCTATGACTTTTAGAGTCACCCAAATACAAATTTGTATATCTGCACAAACACAAACCTAAGCACGCATGTGGGGCCGTAGATAATAGCAGGCAGAACACTGATAATGACTACCTGTGCTCAAAGGTGGTACACGGGTCAACTTACGTGTGGATTTTCTCATAAATATCTGTACTGTTTTTGATCTATGGTTGGGAGTCCGAGGATGTGAAGGGTCTGCCGTATGTATTGTTCTGTGCCATTTTACACGGGACATGAGCATCTGTTAGTTTTGGTATCCACAAGGGATCTTGGAACCAGTACCCCTCAGGTACTGAGAAACAACTGTATAGTTAAATTCTAGGAGAGTCAAAAGTTATATGTGGATTTTTTACTGTGTGGGGGGTCGGCACCCCTACCCAGCACATTTTTAAGGGCCAACTGTAGTTTGGGTCAAAACCTAGCATGGGTAGGAGACCCTCTAGCCAGGTAAATTAAAAATTTTCTCCCCTAAGTCCCTATGAGAATATCATGCGACTCCCCTGTATAATCTAAAGAAAAGTATGTGAAACAATTTGAAAGAGATGATACAAGTTAATCACAGAGGGAACATTTCTGACACAGGCTTTTTATATGAGGTATTATCAATACCAAATTTTAGTAAGACATGCAAAAGGCTATATGTGCATGAATATTCATATTGGGCAGTAGTCCCAGATTTTCAATTGTAAACTAATAAATTAGACACAATAGTTTGTATACTTGGCAGGCTATCTAGTCAAGTTTCAGACTGGCTCAAGACTGAAACCTAGAAGAAAACTGAATGAAGAGGCAGGATTTTGTTGAGTAAAACTAACTGATTTTGGACCAAAAACATATAACAGAATTTATAAGAATGTCTAAAGGCTGTGAATTTAGTCTTTCTGTTCACAATACTATTATGTACATTGATTCTCTATTCTCACTTAGTATTTTTTTTAGCAGTATATTAGGTGTATTTCCAGTTTATGAAAAGAAGATTTAAAAAACACAAAACCCCCTCACAATTCTGCCCCATACTTTGGATGTCATCATTCAAAGATCTTAAGTATTCAGTAGAATTTATTGAATACATTATTAGTTCAGTAATCAATAGAATCTTAAAATTAGTGTACCAGCTATCTGTCTTCACTCGAGTATCAAATAGTGATTCTGTCAAAGGAAGTCTAGTTTTTAAAAGGATATTCATTTGGAATGGTGGTTTCTGTCATAGCCATGATTAGTAAGCAGAGAGACCTCATTTATACTAGAGACAGTAAACAAAAAAGACGTTCAAAGTTACAATTAAAGAGTTTTAGCCTGTTTTTAAATATATGTACAAAGGTGAGGATCATTAGATGTTGGTAATCCACTGTGGTTATACTTCTAAAATGGAGGAAATAAAAAGGTTTCATATGAAAATTGGAGATTAGTTAACCTGTTATCTTTTCTTTATGTCTCAGAAAGTGAAGCTGCCCTCTTTTATTTTTTTAAGAAATTGGTTTGCTTTGTGGCACATCGTAGATATAATGTTAGTGCCCATTCATCACCAGCTAAGAAATCCGCGTAAGAGAAAGGACCTGAAGAGCAAGGGGGCAGAGATTCATCACCTTTGCTCTGGCTGCTGCTGGCTGGCTGCTGCCTCAACTAATAAAGCTGACTTTCTTATAAGGGGCGCGTAACAGCGAGTTCATGCTCCCTGATCTGGAAAGAATGCTTCAAAATAATATTTTTCCGCCAATAGAAAGTGGAACAGGAAGCATTGACAACTTCTGTTTGGGAATAGTGTCTCAGAAATCAAAATACCATTATGATCTCACAGGGAGTCTCTTGGTGCCACATAAACGTCCAGATATTTAGTTTTAGGACTCACAGCAGAGGCCAGAAACAGCAACTGCATCTCTGTCTCCTAAACCCTCCCCCAAGGCCCTGACGAAATGCTGTCCTGTCCCCTCCTGCACCCCTGTACCCCTCACCAGTCAAATGCTGCCTAATGCTCTGCACCTCTCTTATATGTAGCATGTATCACTTTCTACTGTGTATGGTAGGTGTTTGTGTATATGTCTCATCTACTGAGCCCAACTTTAAACTCTGTACACACGAAGGATGCTCAGTAAACATGTATTGATTCAGGCAGGTCAGTGTTCTCTGCTCTGTGTCAGCGCAGCTACTGTTATGAGAAGGCTGGGATACTGAACCACGTCACTCAGACTTTCAAACCTACTTCCTCATTTATACAGGGATAAAAAATCACTAAATCAGTACTAGTCAAGTTAAATGAATTTCTACATAGCATTTTGTGTATTCTGACAAATATCTATCAGGCACTAACTCAGGGGTTGGCACTATGAATACAAAAGAGTGCTCATTCTTTCATATGAGAAACACAAACTCCCAGCTAGATGAATCCAGTGTGGAAAGGGCCGTAAATGTCGTTCGTAGAAAATACTGTGCGTGAAGAAGGGAGTGGTTAGTTCTGCCTTGTGGCTAGTTCAGGTCAGGGGGCCGAGTCCTACAAGGTGAGTCCCAAGGGAGGTTCTGGGAGTCTCAGTACTTGGTGGCTAAGTGGTCAGATCCTGTGAGATAGTATCAGAATCCAACAGAGGTAGGTATGTAAATGAGACAAGTCGGTATCTTTCCTTTCCCTCTCTTGCAATTTAAGAGCTTCTGTTTCTCCCTAGACTCTCAAATAGCTGTGAGTAGCTGTTTCTCAAAGTAGACAAGTATTCTTTTTTTCATGACTTTCAAAAGATACAGAAGCACTTAGCAAAAATCTGCAATCAGTTCATTTAGAATAAAAAGGTCTAAATGCAGCTATAGAATGTGCAAATAAAATTCTGGTTATGAACAAAACTTCATCTGAGATTATGTTGGTACAATTCTCTCAGTTCTAATACTTCTACATTGAATCACCGAGTGCCTGGGGTGTGCCAGCTTCTGCTCTAGGAGTGAGGGGTCCAGCCCCCAGCTCCCATCAGCCTCCTCTGCCGACCTTTACCAGAAGCGAGATGCAAAAGCCGGGAAACAGTCGGACAGCACTGTTTTCATAGTGATAAATGCCAAGCATTCAGAGACCAAACGTTGAATGGCAGAGCGAAGCGGAGAAATGAGATGTCACTCTGGACAATCCAGTTGGGAATTCCATTTGGAAGGGGCCAGGCCCAAACTCCTTCCCACATCATCTGAATAATTTAAGCCCTTCTCTGAGCTCTCTTTACTCTGACCATAATATGATAGGCATTTTGAAAAGCAATAGGACAAACAAAAATACTAATTCCTATTTTTCTCTCCAGGAGAAAAACTAATCCTGAATTCTCACGTTTCTAATGTGATTTAGAAAAATTGAAAGTAGTGCCAGGTTTGCAAAGTGATAAATATGATAACTGAGAATAAGCTTTTATAATACATCTTACTTAAGTAAAGTTTAACTGAGAATAAGCTTTTATAATACATCTTACTTAAGTAAGGTTTCCTTCTGAGCTTTTTTTAAATGGAAGTTTACTAGTTGCATTTCTTCATATTAAAGTTATTATTTTAAAGTCATGTTACAATCAACAGTAAATGACTTAAGAGTTTAGATTATGACTGAGTTTCTATCTATTGGACAAGAATTTTTTAAGTGCCTGCTATGTGCCAGGCCCTAGAGATACAAAGTCAGAGTTCCAGGCATCAGGAAGGACTGCAATCTAATAAATAATTATAATACATTGTAATAAATGCAATCATAATAAGCATGTCACATAATTAGCAGTGACAAAGAGCGCACAGCCACCTCCTTGGGAAGGAAGGAGCTAGGAAAGGCTTTGAAAAGGAAATGATGTGAACTGGTGGAAAAATGAAAAGGCGAGTTGTAAACATTATGTGATGACAGAGCATGTATTATTAGTGTCGGAGCATATGAGTTCGAGTCCAAGTTGGAAGGCACCTTATAGTTCTTCTGATCCGGTGTCCCAGTCATGAAATCCCTGACAGGGAAGCAGTGTGGCTGGTACATTGGTTTTCCATTGGTCCCCTGGGTTATAGCTTCAGATTCCTCTCCAAAGTAGGGGTCAAGGGGATTTAAACTGCCTGAGGAACCTGTCCATCATTTATATTTATTTCGTGTATTAGTTTGCATGAGTTTTCATTGGAGAAAAATAATACAGTTCTGTAGCTAAAAACTACTGGCCTAGTACAAAGAGCATGGGACCTGTAGGAAAGCCCCTTATTTGTGTCCTTAAGCAAATGAAATCACATTGTTTAATGTAGGAGAAAGTGATCTGTCAACTGTAATGCACTGAGTATATTTAAATTATATTTAAGTCATTTGGGTCTGAATTCCTTCACTTAAAAAATGAGGGTGTTTCACCCAGAAGTCTCAAGTCCCCTGTAGCTCTAGAGTTATGATTTCGTGATCGCCCAGCTTTCCCTTGACTATTTCTAAAGACAAGAACACTTTTTCAGTGTCCTCCTTTCCATTGCTTTTGACAAGACTTAATATTGAAATTGAAGCATCTCGTTTTGTGAATTATAACTAATAATTGGTTTTGTAAATTGCAAATACTGGCACACAAAGCTGAGACTGTGTGGTTCATAGGCTATGGACATTGTAATAGCTAGTGATGTTTTTTGTTGCACATATGCCCAAAGTCAAATGCTTCAAATCTTGCTTTTAATAAAATATTTATGTTCTTTTGGTAGCCAGAAGTGCAACTTGCTGAAGGCTTTGATGTGTTTATGCCTAAATCTCAGCTGGACTCTATATTGTCAAACTACACTCGCTCAGGAAGCCTTCTGTTTAGAAAACTGGTGTGTGCATTTTTTGATGACAAGACTTTGGCTAACTCCCTACCCAATGGGAAGAGGAAAAGAGGACTCAATGACAACCGGAAAGGACTAGACCAAAATATTGTGGGTGCAATAAAAGGTTGGTCTGCATCATTTCATTTTATGGGTTCTTTGTTGAGCTTTGCTTCATTCCACAAAGATGCAGCTGAAATTGTAGTAGACTAAGTAGAGGCTCATTTAATGGCCCATTGGCACTTTACCCACTGGCATGGTTTTTGAGTGTGAGCTCTGTAACTCGCCACCCCAAATACCACTAGAATTTGGTAATTCAAGGTGATGTTCGTCTGTTAAAATCATAATTTAAGAGCTAGTTTAATCTGCTGCAGAACCAAAAAGAAGTTGTTATCTTAACTGATTTTTTAAATGAAGGTATTTTTCCTCTCAGTAATTTCTAACTAAGAACTTCATCAAATATAATTTCAACTTAAATTTTTAATTGCAAATAAGAATAAAGCTATGACGCTTTTTTTGAAAAGAAAGTAAAAACAGTTTTCTCCAAAGGTCAGAAGTTGTTTTTAGAAGGTCATTGCTCCTAAAGACATTTTAAATGTAAGTGAACCCACTGTGAAACCAAACCCTGTCCATCCCTGCACACTCCTGGTCTCCTCTGCTTTCCTGGTGTTTTGACATGGAGGCATGCCAGTTACATGCAAAGAAGACATGGGTGTCTTCCCTTTAATGCCTATGGACATGTGTTTGAATTTCACTGCGTTACAATAGCCATGCAGGTGCATGTATGAGTAGATATCCATTTACATCCAGTTCCACATCCTAGACCTATTTCCTACTTAGATCTCTGATAAATGTTATTTTAGGTAATAGAAGTTTATAACTTATTTTTTTTAAGAATGTAAATGAGCCCGGCCCGGCGTGGCTCAGTGGTTGAGCATCAACTTATGATTCAGGAGATCTGAGGTTCGATTCCCCATCAGGGCACATGTCCGGGTTTCGGGCTCGATCCCCAGCAGGGGTCATGCAGGAGGCAACCGATCAATGACTCTCTCAGNCGATTCCCCATCAGGGCACATGTCCGGGTTTCGGGCTCGATCCCCAGCAGCGGTCATGCAGGAGGCAACCGATCAATGACTCTCTCAGCACTGATGTTTCTCTCTCCCTCTCCCTTCCTCTCTGAAATCAATAAAGATATATATATATATTTTTTTAATGTAAATAAATTATCATTAAATACAACTACCATGAAAATGAAATTGTGCATCAGGCTTTAATGAATACTAGACTCACTGCCTCAGTTCCTGCACTTTTGGCTTGTGGCCTGGGACTGGATGCAGAAACCCACCCTCCCCACCCCTGTGCCCGTTATTCTGCAAAGTGAGTAAATTAATTAAAGGATACTTTAAAACCCACAATTAACTTTACAAAGTACTACTTTTTTTAAATGGATTCAGCAAGTTCCAGACACACTTTGTTCATGGCCAGAAGGACATAAGCCTTCATTAACAGAAAATTTTTCATTCTCCAACAGAATTTCTTTCACTTAAAAGTGACAGTTGAGTTGTACTAAGTAAAAAAAAGCTAGAGATATCACAGTCGGTGTCATTTCTGAAAAGAATAATTCAGCCTGAAGTGACACTAAAAACAAGATTATGGAACTTGAAAAATGGTCAGTGGTGTAACTAGGACTTGCTGAAGTGAAGAAGAGTCCTATTTCGATTTAGTGTGGCTGGGCCTGCCGGAAACATGAAAGTCACGGCTGGTGGTGCTTTTCACTGCTGAGGCTTTCAAACACACTGAAATGTGGCCTGGATTTGTTTTAATTTTCTTTTTTTCATTACAGTATATTAAGATTATGAAAGCATTTGGAAATTGGGGAACCATAAATGACCATGTTCCAATTTAATAACAAGAGTTACCCTAATAATAGATAGTAATGAAATACATCATTACAAGTAGACTAATATGGGTTTACTCTGCGGTTTCCAATCTAGACTGGACGTCATACAGTAGTTTGAAAACATATGTTACAAACAGAAGTAGAGAAGATGCCTTAATTTTCTTCACAGCCCTACTCTTTAGCTAGAAATAAATATGGCTGCGAGGTTACTGCTCCCAATGGATAATAAAACTGATTATGTAAATCAAAGAACTTAAAGTTTCTATGCACTTCTTATATTGTTGAATTAAATCTGCATTAAAATTCTTTTAGAACAACAAAGTAACTATGAAACAGAAATCTACCCATAAGCCACCAACAACCGAAGTCAACAAATATTTGTGTTTCCTTGTTTCCTTATAGTATTTATTCATAGACATTTTTATTTTGTCTTTTTCCTGATTACAAAAATAATACATGCTTGTAAAAATTCCAAACCATAAAAAAAAGTAGAAAGGGGAAAAGCCTCCATAATTTCACCCTGCAGAGGTTACTGTGTACTTTCCTACAATCTTTATTTAAAGTATGAATGTAGTATCTATCAGGTTTGTCTTTCTTATTAGAATGTTCTCTTTGTACTGATCAGCTAGCATTCTCACCTGATGGATTTTGATAATTTCTTGGAATCATCTTGAGGACAAGCTTTGTCTTAAATATCTTTTATTGCTTGTTACACTTTACTGAGAGCTTTGTACAGAGTAGGGTTTCTGAAAATATACATTGGGTGAGTGAATAGACATAGGTTTTTATTTTTCATCTTGACTTTGTCCTTAATTTATTGACCTAATGGGTCTAGTACTCAACATAGATCCTTATGTCTTCTTCCAACTCATTTGTAATGATCAACATCAAAACATTGTTATAAATTTCTACCAGTTAATAAAATGTCATGAAAGCAAAAAAAGAAATGGAAACAAAAATTGAATATAAATTTGAATACACTTCTCTTAAGTCCCTAATACTTTTTTCCTTTACCTATTATACTTTAAAAGTTTATTAATCTACATATTGCAGTATAAAGTGATTTTTGGAAATAGCTATTAATTGAAGGTCTTTTAGAATAACTATATTCAGTTTTTCTTGCTATTAGTAGAGATAAAAGGAAAAATGTATTTCCCTATCCCAGGTCTTTTGAATCTGAGCAAACTGGGAAAGTGATAAAATAGTTTCTTTCTACATAACAGTGGCAAGGCCACTCACATTACTACTGCTGTCTGCCACATACTTTGAAAAGGTTTTGTAACTACTAATTATTCAGTCTTACTTTGACATAGTGCACCAATACTGTATTGATGTGAAACATTCTNCTGTCCTTTGACATAGTGCACCAATACTGTATTGATGTGAAACATTCTACAACCTAGGAATATATGAAGACTAATAGATTTTATAAAATTTTAGAAGTAAAAATAACAGTGGAGGCTAGGTTTTGGTTCACAGTGATTAGGTTTGCTAAGACAGCATTGGGAAAAAAAGGTGGGTATAAACCTATAAAATGCTTATAAATAGAAATAGACTGAAAAAGAAAAGAGTTTATTGTGCAATAAATACAGAGCTCTCTGTAGTGATCATTAATATTCCCAATGACAGTATCTTGAAAATAAAATATAATCATCTTTGTAGAGATCACATTTTTCATAGTCTCATCTGTTTTATGGTGGCTAACAGTTACTGGTAATTCATTAAAAGTTCATTTATAGGTATGACCTAAGGATCCCAATTAGAAACACACTTGAACACTTTGAGTTCAACTGGGAAGAAGCAACGTGTGCTCTTATTAAGTAGAGTCTGAGGTCTTGGTGCTGAGGATAGTTTAGCATCTTGGATTTAATTTGGAATTGATTTTACAGCCAGAACAGAGTCGAAGCTAGTGCCCAGTTATGTGTACTCACTTCATGCTGTACCTGCTGAAGACCATCTGATTCATGATATCATACACCAGGAGACCATGAGTTTGACTGAGTGAGAGCCATCTAAATACTGATGGAATCATTGGCTCTCTGAATCCTCTGTAGAAAATAGTTACAGCAAAGCCATTTTTAGGACCTGGGTTACGATTTTTAGTTCAGCATCATAAACTAAAGCTGAGAAAGTTTTATTAGTGTCAAACTAAACTAGTTTCTTGAATCCTCTTACATTCAAAGGAAATCACATATGCTTGTCAAGTGCAAGAGCTAGCCAGCCACTCTTCATTTTGCTCTGGGCAAGACACACTTGCAGGACACACTGCTCCTGCAAGTGTCAGTGTGATGGTCTGCCCAGATAGACACCAGGGGTCAGAACAGCTCCGGGAGGGAAGACTCTTTGGTTGGTGGTACTCCAAAATCTTCCAAGATTAGAAAGCCCTGACCACATCGGACATCCCCCTGTCATGAGCTCTGCTGAACTGACCACCAAAACCTCTCATCTCATTTCAGCAACTCTCAAGACTTGCAGGGTCCATATTTGTCATTTTAGAATACCTTTCCTTTTCTGTTTTTACTGCCTATCATTGTTCATTTCCTTGGATTTAATCAAGAAAAGTGAATAGCTGTTTTCTATTTTATCTCACATAGACTTAAATTAATTTGGTTGGGATGTAATTTATATCTGATTTGTTATTTCTTGATAGTAACTTCTAGGTTTTCTCAGAACTCTGTGTACGAGGCTGAAACATCAGCTTGCATTTGAATATCCTTACAATATTGATTTTATTTTCACTTCCAGGAGAGGAAACTAAAGCTATGAGAAATTAAACTTACTTAAATTAACTTAAACAGCTAGTAAGTGGTAGAGCCAGCATTTAACCCCAGGCCTCTCTGACCCCAAAGCCACTGTCTAACATGTTTCATTCCTTTTATGGGGAGTATTTGAAAAGAAAGAGAGAAAGGTATCCCAATTTTAAATTTCTATCTTAAAATTTAACATTTTGGATTCTTTAGAAGTTCCACTGGAAGACCGTCATACTACTTATTTAAGACAACCAGTCAGTTGTGTTTGCAAAGCATACTCGACGTGAATGTGGGGTAGAGTACAGCCATGCCTTAGTTTATTCACTAGCTACAAGGGCACGTCTTCCCTTGAAGCCAGTGAGAATCAGTCCCATCACGCTAGGGAGGAAACAGAAGTGTGACCCCTTCCCTCAGGAAGGAGACCTAGAACCACAAAGAAAGAGCTTGGAAGCCACGCTGCATGTAAGTAGTCTTCCA